AGACATCAATATTTACTTATCTGGTGAAGGTTTCTAGTGTTCCAAGGAAAGTGGTATCGCTGGAGTAGGATGGTTGAGGCGAGAGTGGCCGGGACAAGTGTTGTCTTGTGCAGTTGGGATCCCCGTTGGGTCTCGGGGGGCCCGTGGTTTGCTTGGCGCAGCATCGAGGACATTCACAGGTGGAATTTTGTACTCATCCGATTCCCCTGTAAATTTGCAACACATATGTAAGAGCAATGGAGCTAGCATGCTCTCTGTTTTTCTCTGAAACATACTAGTTTACATAACCTGTTCCAATTTCATATTTTTATTTTATATAAATTTATGTTCAATCACCATCTGAGCAGCATACTTCTGCATACTTTGGGACTTATTCTCATCCTCTGAAAGGACCCCTTTCTACTAAAGCCTTGTGTTAAATTTGCTTTGCTGGTTTGGTAAAATTTTATAATCAAATTGATAGCTTGACCAAAAAAATGGCTTGTTGGTTACTGGTTGTCATTATTTTAGAAAATTATACAATCAAATTAATAGCTTGACCAAAAAAAAAAGGCTTGTTGGTTACTGGCCAGTGGCCAAAGTGCTGGCAAATCCTATCTGCAAGCAAGAATCAAGCCTTGATGGTTTTGCTTTTTGTTTTCCGCTTTTTTTCTGATTTTTGATTTTTGCTTTCTGTTTTTTGCTTTTTGTTTTCTTCTTGTTTTTCTCTGCTTTTTTTGCTTATTTATGTGATTTCTGAGATCAACAAGGGCCAAAAATGCACAAAAACAAGCAAACAGATGTGAAAGGAAATAAAAAAAGCACAACACAGCACACACAAAAGTAAATAATAGCAAAGCAAAACAATCACCCAAGAATTGCTCAGGTAGGCAGGTCAAAGGTGTTGTTGGACAGCTTTGACCAGAATAATCTTCTGCAAGCAGTTTGGTGAGGAGTAAAGCTCCCCAAAAAGCTGCTGCAAGCCGTTTCTGCATTGAATTGACCACCTTCAATCTGGGACTAACATTTTGCATTCAAGTGCATCTCAAAAATTCACTATCTATTATTTATTAGCAAAACAAAACAACAAAAAGCAAAACTAAAAGGAAAAAAAAGCAAAGCAAAAGCAAAAACAAAAAAAAGAAGCAAAAAAAGCAAAAAAAGCAAAAAAAGCAAAAAAAGCAAAATAAAAGCACAAAAAAGGAAAAAAAGCAAAGCCAAAAAAAGCATCAAATATTTTATAACATGGTCATCCCAATGAATTGATTTTGGCTACTCTGAAATACAATAGATGCAATTCCAACACCTTGTGTGGCCAAGTTCTGAGGCAATCTAGACCAACATCTCATTTCTGCACATCTTTTGGATACAGGTTTCGAGTAAGCTTGGCAGCGGAGGTGATAGCGAATCGTCAATGGGATACATAGTAAAGCTCCATCAAACTCGCCCTTCAGGTGATCAAAATAATGTATCGATTCAGAACACTCAAAGATTAAAATTTAAATTCAGACACTAGATTACAAAAGTGCTTGCAGAACCTGTTTAGCTGTCATTCGTCGATCTTCAATACATAGCATTTTTAGGATAAAAGAATATTCAAAGGATTCGCCAATTGGATTGAAGAACGTGGTATCTTGGGCGACAAATGCGCGGAAATGCGGATCGTAGTCTCTTGCTTCACGCCATGGTCGAGCGGAGCCTAGCAAGTTCATCAGCATGATACCGAGAGACCAGATATCGTTTGCAAAAGTATTGTAAAAGAAAAGTGAGGTATCAAAACTGCCAAGACATTCTGGCTTGTAATTGGATCAAGATCAATAAAACAATTTGATTCAGGAAAATCCAATCATTTTCGCGGGCATACCTGGACTCATGTATGCTCGTGTGCCACACTTGTTTGTGCTGTGAGAGAGGTCAGTTGCAAGTCCAAAATCGGTGAGATAAACCTGATCAAAACCGCAAAGT